CGACCAAGAAGCCGCCCGCCCAGTTCCTCACCGGTACGCTCCTTGGAAGCCGGCATGCTCCTCGGAAGCCGGCACGCTCGACGGACGCCGGCAGGACAACAGCTGGTCCGTGCGCGCCGCGACTCCCTTCACCGGTCGTCTCCTTCGCCGACGCCCGCAAGTTGTTCGACAGTTTGCCAAGGTACAAAATGGACTCCGCCGACGAGTTCTTTTTTCATAATTTCCTTTGCGACTCCGACGATTCATCCTCCGATGACGAGGAGGAGATATTTGCAGCCGTGTTGGTCCATCACCACCTCAACAGCCAGCGGCCATTGTTCCGTGGCTCCATTCCGGGCCACCTTTCGGCGTTGAATCGCAACCGAGAGAGCGGGCATTTCCTTCTTTAGAAGGACTACTTTGATACAACAAACCCGTTGTTCAAACATCAGAAATTCTGCCGTCGTTTCCGCAAGAGTAGGCATATCTTCAATCGTATTGGAGAGGGGGTGGTCGGCTATGATGACTATTTTGAGTGCAAAGAGGATGTCGTTGGCAAGATTGTTTTTTCCTCTTATCAGAAATGCACTGCCGCCATCCGAATGCTTGCATACGGAGTGCCCGATGATCTCATTGACGAGTACGTCCGTATGAGCGAGTCTACTTGCCTAGAGTCTCTATATAAGTTCTGCAAGGCTGTTATTGGTGTGTTTGGCCCTGAGTACTTGAGAGAGCCGACTGCTGAAGATACATCCCGTATGTTGGTGATGAATGCCAGCAGGGGCTTCCCAGGGATGCTTGATAGTATAGCCTGCATGCATTGAAAGTGGAAGAACCGCCCTTCTGCTTGGCAAGGCAGTATAAGGGCCATGTCAGGGCTTGCACTGTCATACTTGAGACCGTGGCGTCTCAAGATCTCTGGATCTGGCACTTTTACTTTGACATGGCCGGATCACACAATGATATCAAATCTGTCCACAAGATGTAACGACACTGTGATGCGTCGCTCGGGGCGCGTCGAACCGTTTTCTCACTGAAAAGACCGATGTGGGACAGAAAGGACCGATGTGGGACAGAAAAACCGATAGACGAAAAAAAGTTGCAGATGTGGAGCCATAGGCCGGAGGAGGCTGTGGCCTGTGGGTACTAAACGGCAACGTACGAGAGATTAACTCTGCAGTTTCTTGATATAAAAAAGAAAGAGAAAAAACTGCAGTTTCTTCAATAGCGAGCTCAAGAATTGATGCCAGCACAGACGACTCAGTTGTGAGTGCGTGACCCGTGCGCCTATCCAGCACAAGGGATTCACTGTACGTACTGCTCGGCCGGCCATGGAATTGACAACAATGAACTAGACCTAATACCGGGACTGGACCAAGAGTTTTAGACATACAATGGCCTACGGACTCTTAGCGACCATGAAGTGACCTGTGATTCTCAACCATGATACTCCCTTCCGTCCAGAAATACTCGTCGGAGGAATGGATGTATCTAGACATATTTTAGTTTTAGATACATCCATTTTTATTCATTTCTCTGACGAGTAATTCCGGACGGAGGGAGTACATGATGTTTGCTCCAACGCTTCATGCATTGCCCCCCTTGTGCAAGTTCAATACGGCAATATTTCTCCCGATACCTCTCAAGCCACAAGGATATTGTTTGTACTCCCTTCTCTAGCTATAGGCTATAGCAGTGTCTCGCATGGCCTTGGTTCACAAAATGAATATCCAGCTCTCAGCATGCATGTATATTTATACATGTGAAACGAATGGACCAAATATATATTTCAACGATCCGGATATGATCCTGATAATCCATGGCATCACAACCCATGTACCTCTGTGCGTTTCAATGCTTGATTGACACCATATACTACTTCATATTTAGTAGTACCAAGCGACATAGTAAGATTTTTCTTTAATAGATCAAGTGGGGCCTTATATTTTTCGTGCTTAAGTTTTACTTTGAAGTTTCGAAGAGCTTACTTGACTACTTTTTGTCCAGGAAGAAGGCTAAGGTTGCGAGGAGCAGGGGAGGCGCCAGGATTGGGCCAAGCCCCGGGCCCCGGGCTTGCTACAACGTTACTACATTGTCCATGATGCTACAGTGAACAAAGTATTTAATCTTCACGTCCCGGGCCCAGCCCCCCTCCCCCCGCTCTGGGTCCTGTATTCGCCACCGGCGAGGAGAAAGCAAACCTTGAGCCCACTCTGTCAGGCAAGGCTAAGAAGAATGCTAAGGTTGTGGCGGAGAAGACGACGCTTGAGCCCGCTCTATTGGGCAAGGCCAAGAAGGCTCAGGTTGGGACGGAGAAGGCATCTCCTGAGCATTTTCATATCACAAACATGTTTTCAAATTTGCAAAATTGTATTAATTCATGAAGTTTTTTTAAAATTCAGAATATATATAAAATTCATGGACATTTTTAAAAATCATGATGTTTTATAAATAACCGATTTCTTATATTGGTGTATAAAAAACCTACGAATATTTTTTTGAAATATTGCAACAGTTTTTTAATCAGTGTTCGCGATTTCTTTCAAACCTGAAAATATCATATACGTATATTTTTGGAACATATGGTTGAGCAAGCAAGTGAGCGAGCAGGCCTTATTGGGCCTCGCCGCTTGAACCTCGGAGAAGCCAATCTCGAAAAAAGAAACTAAAAAAAATCGGCAGCATTTCCTAAAAGGAAACAACGTGGCGTAGGCCTACGCGAAATTCCGTTCATGCCCTCAATAATCTAACGAATTCACAGCGCAGCCCACCGCGTCGCTGCCGTCTCCTCTTTTCCACTCCCACCCAACACCCCCACCCTGCTCGCCGCCCTCTCCGCCGCTCCCGCTCCCGAAACCCTAGCGGCGAGGATGGGCCGCAAGCGCCGCCAGCCGTCACCGCCGCCGCCTCCGCCTCCGGAGGAGGAGTCTTCCGCCGAGGAGGAGGAGGAGGAGGAGGAGGAGGCGGCGGAGGCCACCCCCGCGACCCAAAATTCCCCCAAGCCCCCTTCCGCCGCCGCGGACGACGACGCCGAGGCCGACGCCGATTCGTCGGACGGAAGCGACGAGGAGTCCTCCGAGTCGGGCAAGATCGACGCCGAGGCCTTCGAGCTGCGCCAGATCGCCTCCTCCAACCCGCCGCCGGCTGCGGCTTCCAAGCCCGAATCCGACGACCAGGAGCCCACTCCGCCGGGCAAGGACAAGAAGAAGGGCAAGGCCGGGGCGGAGAAGGTGGCGCCTGAGCCCTCTCCGTCCGGCAAGGCCAAGAAGAAGGCACTCTCCGAGCTCACTCCTTCCAGCGAGGGGAAGAAGAAGCACAAGGCCCAGCCGGAGAAGACTGCGCCGTGGAACAAGCTTGAGAAACCTGGACAGCCCAGGCGCTGGACAGTCGAGGACGAGCTCAAGATCCTGGAGGCTCTTGTTCGCCACGTCAAGGCCAATGGCACCCAGCCGGGCGCTGGTGAGCTTATTGCCGTGGTTGGTGGCAGCCTCGAGAGGAAGAACTGCACCAAGACGGAAATGTATGAGAAGGTGCGGAACATCAGGCAGCGGTATGAGAAAGCGGTGAGCACAGGCGCTCTGCCAGAGAAAGATGATGACCTCCGCAAGTTCAAGCTCTCGGAGCAAGTCTGGGGAGCAAATGCAAAGCAGGTGGCTGCAGCCACCATGGCTCAAAATGAGGCTGCTTCCTTAAAGAGCAAGAAGAAGGGGCAGACTAGCAAGGAGAAAACAGAGGGCCATTCAAAGGGTGGTGCAGCAAAGGAGGCAACCGCTAGCGCCGATGAAACAGAGGGCTATTCAAAGGGTGCTACAGCAAAGCAGGCCACCGAAGAGAAGGTAGAAGAAGATGGCAAGGGCAGGTCATCAAAGAAGGCCAGCACTGCTGATACTCCTGCTAAGAGTAGAAAGCGGGGAAACCACAATGAGGAATTGGAAGGCGATGCAAAAACTGCCACTACAAAGGAGACCGTGGATACTACCACTCAAAATGGTGGCACTTTGGTGAGGAGCAAGAGTGGAAAGTCTGACAAAGAGAAAGCGGATGGAGATGCTGAGAGCCCCACACCAACGGAGGATATGGCTGACGCTCAAAATGGTGGCACCCTTGCTCTGTATAAGACGGAAGGGGAAGCTCATGAAGAGAAAATGGACACAGATGCTAATGTGAAAGGCACGCGCAAAGGGTTTGAGGAATTGCAGAAATTGTACCCCAACCTTACCTCTTATGTGGAGGACATCCAGGCCCAGCATCCATGTGGGGAGACACTGAAGAGAGCATTTGAGTTCATTCCTGATGAGAAGGCATGTACTTTGGAATCCAAGATCAAGAAGCAAAGAGTAGCTGAGTTGAGGATGGAGATGCGCCGATCTGACACAAAGAAGGAGGTGACCAACATATTCATAGGATTGCTGGACTAAACCCTTCTGTTGTTGTCAACCCATTTATGCGGTATACCATTCTACTTACTCCTGTGTTATTATGTTTTATCGTGATGATATATTGAAGATTTTTATATAACTCAATGTGATGCATCTTACTTCTCTAGTTTACTTCAAGTCTAGCTTTATATATCTGCAACCAAATTCCACCCACCACCCTAAAAGATTAGAAAGATTAGGCGGATGCAGGTGAGTTGGAAGTTTGGTTGGACATATATCCAGTATAATTTTGTGCAGGCAGCGAGGCACCGTGAATTCATGGCAACTGAAAGTCTGAAACAAGGGCCAACGGACATGAGATGGATTATATGCATCTCATGTCTTATGCTTATATTCAATAATGGTTCCACCGTATTTAGATACACAGCTTTTTTGCAGTACTGACTTGTAAATCTTCCTGCAATTATTGTGTCGGTTACTGTTATTGTATTGTGGCTGTCAAAATATTGTTCAGGATTAAACTGCTGGTTTCTTTGATTGTTACTGTAGAGTTTGTAGTCATTTTAGTGACTTACATTTAACCTTATGTGTCAGTTTTCAAGCAACTTATAAAGTTATATAAGACAACGATTGACTAGTTAACTGACTTTAATATCGTGTTGACAACTTTTTTTGGTAACACGGCGTTTTGGACAAAGAACAGTACATAGTTTCAGGAAACTGTCATCTCTCTTAGAGATCATTTTTTGTTGCTTCCCCTTCAGTGTCCTAGAAAGAACAACTGTTGCATTTTTGTTCATGTTGGCATGTAGTTCTGAGGTCTGACATTTGACATGTCAAGTCTTGCTCAAAAAGGGCTGATTTCCTGAAAGTCAGCAGATATGCAAATTCAGTTGGAAGTTCTGACCACAGAGAATGACAAAGTATGGTGTGTTACAACCTGAAAGGCTGAAATTGTGCTGTCATTGCAGAGATGTATCCTAAGCCTGTTATTTCAGCAACTCTGGAAGTTGTCGTTCACACAAATTGACAGAGTCCCTAGTTTTTAGTTTTAGTTTCTGTGTGTGTTATTGGATCGTGGATCAGTTTGTAGCAGTTTCAAAAATCGAGTAACTCGGTATCTTAGCCGATGTTATGCATCTTTCCTGCACTACCATGCAAAAGCTAGCATGAATATGTCCCATTGTTCTCTTATTGAACGAAGTGACTAGAGCTGTTTCTTGTAAGCGGTTGGTTAATACCCCCTCCGTTAACAATTATAAGGTGTTCTAACGTTATTATGAGTCGGATGTATATAGACGCATTTTAGTGTCCTGTTCACTCATTTCAGTCCGTATGTAGTCCATATCGAAATATCAAAAACATCTTGTAATTGTGAATGGAGGGAGTAGTAAATATGCACTTGTGTTTTTGCAAATGGTAATCATGCTTTGTTTGATTTGTGTGCGCCCTTCCTGTACTGAAATTGTATTTCTATCGAAATAAGTGTCAATTTGTATGTTACAGTAATATATACGAGTTCCATTGCTGATGTAACTTCCGGTTCTGTTTGCTTTGATTGCCAGATTGCTGGGTAAGAAGACTGACTGAAGTAGCAAAAGGTTGATTGGACGTGGAACCGATGGATGAGCACGAGACATGGTGACGAGCTACTATTGTCGCTGGCTGTTGTCTTGTTAATGGTGGTTGGTGGTGAGCTGACTCATGCTGTCTTATGGCAGTACCTATGTTGGTGTCATGTCTAGGAAATGGTGGCGTCCTAATGCTGTCTATGACTTGGAATTCCGTTTCTTCTGTTCGATGAGTTAGGTCTTATTGGCTGTGTAAAGTTGCTTCTGAATTCAGTGGTGGTGGAGGCCGGAGGCCGATGGTCAGGCGTATTGGCTTTGTGTTGAGGCTGCTGGATTAAGAGCCTTCTTTTTTACTCCCTCTGTAATCTAATATAAAGGCGTCTAGAATAGTGATCTAAAGGCTCTTATATTAGTTTACAGAGGGAGTAGCTCTAAGCGCTGTTTTGGAGCTGTCATGTTTGGACTTGGATGTAGTGTTGTGTTTGTTGGAGTTTGTTTTGGTTTCAGTCCTGTAGTGTTGAACTTAAGTTCATTTTGGAATTTAGATGATTGGCTGCGTAGCACGAAAGGTAGCAGAGGGGCAAATATTTGAATACAGCACAAGACAATTTACCTAGTTGTGGATCGGGTGAAAACTCTTCTGATTTGGGTATAAATTAAAGCATGAACTTGTACAAAACGATGCATACCAACGACTCGCGAAGGATAACACAGGCTGCTAGGCGAAGCAGTTCCACCTATCGCCGGTGCGACGCGGGCTCCTACTGCTCTAGCCACATCTTCAAGACACTACCCAAGCGGTCTGTTAGAGAGTTGTAGGCCCACACACTGGTAGCATTCATCAAGCGAGTTTTTTTTTTTTTGAACATAGAAAGGCGCACAAAGCGCCAACCAATACATTCAGCTCAGTAACATCTTACAGCGTGAATTACATAGCCCTGGAAATTGAAATTAGACAGGAGAGAAACAACAGGGCATATCATGTTTGTATGAGCTGAAGCAAAACAACTAGTGTCAGGTTCTGGTAAACTTCTAAGAACCTGATGAGCCACATTATGAGAAATACCATTGATCTCTCTTGATATGTGATACACCTGTGCTTGGAGATCATTTGTAAAGGAGAAAAATTTAGCTAGAGAAGTTCTGATGGTCCAAGGGGTCACTTCTTGCCGCCGCTGCTTTTGCCAAATCAAGCGAGTTGTAGTTCTCGAATTGCTTTGCCAAAGTTTGCTCCAATTATCATTCCTGTACCTCCTCTATATGACTGAACCGAAGCAATAATTATCCTGATACCTCTCAAGCCCCAACATACTTGTTTCTTCCCCCATGACCTATGCTATGGTGTTGTCTTATGAAACTCATCGGGCTCGAATCTGAAAATGTATATGCGTTTCTTGGCTTGTACATTTATACATGTGAATGGTAGGAGCAAATCGCACATATATTCAATTACCCCGAGACAATCATGATAACTAATGAGTTCAATGCTTGGTTGGTCTTATATGCTACTGCATATTTTAATGTCAAGTGCTACACTAGTACTCATGCATACATCCATAACCTATTTACACATCATCTGACATTGTTGTCAGGTTACAACAAATGCATATTCAAGGACTTAATTACACATCTACCTAACATTATTATAAGATATTCATATTGAAATCCTGAGCAATCGGCCTTATCTCCCCTTTCTGAATAAAACAATATAAATGACATGGAGCACACATTAATTTACTTAATGAAGGATGCCAATACATCCTAGAGGAGCAACTGCTTACCTTAACAGTCTCTGTCAATCACATATGCATTTGCCAATAGCCAACTACATGTAAATCAATTGACACCCACATATAGATAATCATATCTGGTTACTTAGTTTCTCGTGCATATCAAACATTTACGCTAGCTCATATATTTAGGCTAGGGCAGACTCAGGGCATACTAGCATGTCTTTTTTATAATCAAAGCACACAAGAATCAAAGATGTCTTCATCCACATCCTATTATCGTCATCATCTTTGAAAATACATACATAGTTATAGGTAATGCCACATCTGCGATAGATGTAACCAAAGAAGTTGGATAGCTTTGTATGACTTAACCCCCTGGCTCAGGTCACCTGAATCAGCTCTAGTAACTCCAAGGCAAGAACCAATACCCATTTTTTCGTTTGAGGAATCACCAGGGGGCAAGACGCCACACCTGGATATATTTCTCGATAGGAGGCTGCTTCCGTATTCTCAGTGGTGGTAGAGGATGGAAGGCGTATTCGCTTGGGTTGAGGCTGCTGGAAAAAGTGCCCCCTTTTGTAGTTCTAAATGCTATTTTGGAGCTGCCATGGTTGGATGTAATGTCGTGTATGTCAAGAGTTTGTTTTGGTTTCAGTCCTGTAGTGTTGAACTTAAGTTCGTTTTGGATGATTGGTTGCAGGAGCAGGATTCCAATATCGTGCCTGCTGGTTTTACTTGGGTGCGTGGTGTGGTGTTTTATCGGTTTCTTTCTTATTTGAAATCGGAGAGGAGAGCTCTTTGGTTTGAAAGAAAGAAATGAGCGATTCTTATTTAAATTTTGAGTCTTGCTTCAGTACACCCCACTCACAAACCGTATAAGGACAATAGGGTCATCTGATTATAAGATATACCCATCTATGTATGTGGCACGTACCAGCTGTATACACAACCGATCCGCCGGCCCGTCACACAAACTGACAAACACAACCTCTGTCTTGGGCCTGGCCCATTTTCCTTTTTCTTTCTTTAACCTTCAAACATAGTTGCGTGAGGTAGGATTCAAACTCCCAACCTCTTAGTTTACTTCCACACACTATAACCAACTGGGAAAACTATCTTGTGGTGTCTAGTTACTTCTTTTATTATTTTTTTGTTTGGCCCTTTTATTCTTTTATTTTATTCCTTTTCTTATTTTTCTTCAGAAAACACATTCTTGTCCCCGCGTTAACAAAATGAGTCGTGTGTGGCGTTAAACACATACAGTTAACGCAAACAAAAAAATATTAAACACAAAAGGTGAGTCGTGTTTCAGTAAATGATGAACGAAATGTCTGCATGTACAAGATGGATCGATATTCATTCCACGTTGTCTATATGCATGGCGTATAGGTTCTCGTCGCATGAGTCACCATGTTGGGCCAAAAAAACTGAACTAAACGCAAACAAAAAATGACTCGTGTTTGAATGAACGAATGAAACGTACACGACTGGTCCACGCTGAGGGATGGAGCGAGGGACCCGTGTGTCATTTCAATGACTAGCTACCCAAGCGCTTTTCTTTTAATAAAAATTCAAATAAAAAACTACATACACTGTTTTCTTTTTCATTTTCTTAAATTCGTGAACATTTTCTTAAATTCCTTAACTTTTTAAAAATGCATGAACTTATTTGTTGAATTCATTATTTATTTTTCAAATAAATGCTTTTTTTAATTTTGTAAACTTTTATCAATTT